AATAAATTAAAGGCAAGGCATAAGGTGTGAATGATCCATGTTTTTAATTCATTAAGACTAAAGAGTATTTGGTAATAAAAAATGACAAATGACTAGTCTTGTTATGGAACTAATCCGTTTGTATAATGAAATGCCGGCTTAGTATAAATATTTTACATCAAAACCGTAGCAAATATTTAGGCACTGATTGATTTGTATATGGTATATTTGGTGGGTGGAATCCATTGAACATCTCTTTGCAATTTAAGCGTTAAAAATCTAAAATCATATCTCAGTAGATTCCAGATTTATATCAATCTATATAGTTTTGCTGGTCAATATTGATTGTGCCAACAAAGATGTAGTTACTCAATAACAAAAGCTCCAGTTTTATACGGCCACATTTTTCATACTTTACGAGCTGCGCAAGCGCATAACTCAGGCACCTTCGAGTTATCAATGAACCATTTAGTAGTAAAGTGAATAATGGCATGACTCAGACAGAATGGCAGATATTTGCCATTCTGTTGCCATGATGCGGGTTACTAGGTCTCGCAATTTTATGGCATATGCCCATTGCTGGGATCTCATGCGTGGCATGGGAAAAATACGTTTAATGATGTATGCGTACGCGCATATTGTTGAAGCTTAGTATACTTTATAGCGTTTTTTAATATTTACTCACAGCTATCAACATTTATTCGTAACCAAGAACCTATACTGTTCAATTTACTTGTTCCTCAATAAATACAAATACTAATGAATCATATTTCGTTGTGGATTCTTCAAGGTCGTTTGAGTCACTTAATACAAATAGATTAGACTCGTCAACAAGATAGGCAGGTCTGGATATCTGAATGACTATTCAATGGTTTTGCATCTCAATTAGTGCTTAAGAATAATAATTTATTTTTGGTCTAAATATAACTTAAACTTCACTGTAAATAATTATTGCACAATCATCAGTATCTATATTGGTAAATGAAAAGTTTGTTGACCGGATATCGCAGCCTCCAGCGGAAGTGATATAGCTTTATCGTGTACCGTGGGATGCGCCGGCGCAAGTCGCAAAAGATTATCATGTCGGCGCTTCTTTTTTATTGACTTATGGGGAAGTTATCGGTTTTATTAAACGTTTGCATAAGCAATACATGTTGGAAAGTTATACCAGTTTTTATTTAACGTACCATTAAAGTTACAGCCGTTCTAATTTCATGTATTTAAAGATATTTAATTAACATTTATAGAAGTAGTATCTATATCTTCTGTGCACTGTTTATTATTCTCTGTTGCAGGTCAATTTTAGACTTTTGTACATTCTTTGAAGGCACATTTTCTATTTCTCTGTCGTTTAAGCTGTTCTGACCTACTTAGCGATTACAAAATATGTATCGAATAGACAGTACATAGGCTCAAAGTTCGGATTTCTGCTAAGTAATTAAGGCGTCAAATCCATGTGTAAGCATTTTGTAAACAGATTATAACCATGTACGCCCTGTTGACATACATAATCTTAATACTTATATCCTAATAGGCTTTGGTGTTTTGCAAGTTTTCACTAATAATGTTGTTGTGAATTCGTTTTATATTGTGGTCCCAAAACGCAATTATGGCCTAAGTATATCAATGAAGTTCAGTCCTTAGTACAAGTTTGTTTTAAATCAAATGTAATGGAAACGAAACCGTTCGGCGATCGCAGATCTCAATCAGAGCACCGAACGCGGTCTTGCTTCGGTTACATTTGAAGGATCAGTACAAGATCGCGTATCGTGAATAATTTTTGTACACTTCTATTAATATTATCTGGGAACTAAGTCTGATTTCCTAATGTTACACGCTCACCGTAGCCTAAATACGCCTTTTTTAATTGGGACAAGCCCGCCAAAACCTCTCGAAGCCGTTGCAACTCCTGTAAGCCAGGATCTACAGTAGATACAACCATGAAAACACCGGAACATTGAAGTCCGGCGCGTCCCAGGGATATGAGTAACTGTCTTGGTTCCCGCAACGAAAATATTCAGAAGATATTATAAGAGGAGAAGAAAAAACGATAGTTTCCACGTCCCCCGGTAAATTACTGCAGCATCAGAGGAGTTCTTACTATCCATACGAGACAAAGGCATCAAAAAGAACTAGATATTCTTCTTGATATGGTGAAATAAATACCAACTTTAAAGCAGTCAGTAGGTACCTATTATAAGAGAAATACCCATATTTCACTGTTATCTCCCAGAAGGAATGTATTACATAATGTTATTGTTGACCTACTCGTTTATGGCTGACGATTAGATAAAGCACTCTCTAAGAGCGCCTTAATACAAGTTACAATCGCTTTTTCTTAGAAAGAAAGGAATAACAAAGATTTTCGTTAAATAGTAGACATTTTTGTCCAATTACGAATAATCTAGGAAGATTTTAGATAAGTTAGGAAGAAATAGAGAAAAAGCTTCGGAATGTAACAACTTAACTTCCTTGTAGCTAGATGGCGTTAGCATTGATCTCTCTTATTTGTGCTTTTTATCTTAAGCAGGTTTATGTATAAAATTTTAATATGGCACCACGAGGTTTAATGACTTTAGATTTAATGAATCAAACATTTAGAAACATGAATAACATGTTAACTTAGGAACATGAATGAAACAAATATTGCTTTCTGTTTCCATCAGAATATATTCAGTTTACGTAAACACAGAAACCTAACCGAACCCTAGCGACATTCCTAAACAGATTTCTAGATTACCTAGAATCCATTTAATTCGTTTGCGTAAACGCATTTCATCTCGTAAGAACTCCAAACTTATCAGATCATCTATGGTAATGTTGTACTTAGCTTGTTTTTTTTTTCTGGCAACACTCTGGTAATTGTGGGACATTTCTGGTATTAAGTAATGTCACATAGCTGTATTTTTAGTCTGTGAGTGGGTGAGACTTTTTCTTCTTAGGCATTCGGAATTTAAAAACTTTTAATAACGTATCAACTGACAGATTCGTAATTTAATGGATTTTCTGCATTAGCCTTTTAAGTATATATTGATGGAAATACCTAGATATAATCTGTTAGACTGAAATGAAAGATGCCGTTAATTGTAACCATAGAAGAACAAGGCAGCTTTTTCCAAAACCTAAACCTACTAAATAAGAAGAAATCCATTAACACTAATTTACGCAAACTTTGGCATCATAAGAAAGATGAATGGAACTAATAAGGCAGTTTCAAGTTTTTAGCCATTCTGGTAGAACAAGCCGTTATGAACATGTCTCGACATGTCTGAGACCTGAGAAACGGGGGCAAGGACTAGGGGACCGTGGTTATATGGATGGTCTATAAAAAATAACATTTTCAAATAAAAGGCTACGATGGTCTGTTCTTCCCAGGTTTTATGTTTAACTATTGATGCTTAAGTCTCCTAAGTATGCATGTCGGCTGTTATGTTGATGGTGTCTGCTGTAACAACTTCAGCTATGCAGACGACATGGTGCTGCTGGCTCCGTCGATTGGGGCTCTCCGGAAGTTACTCGCAGTTTGTGAGTCTTTTGTGGCCTCACATGGACTTTCTTATAATGTGAAAAAGACTGTCTACATGGTTTTCAAATCGGATCACAAGAATCCGCCTATTCAACCGATTGTTTTGGATGGTGTCTGCTTAAATAAAGTAACTCAATTCAAATATCTTGGGCATTGGGTTACCGATGATTTAAAAGATGATGTTGATATGGAGAGGGAACGCAGAGCATTGTCGGTTCGGGCGAATATGTTGGCACGCAGATTCTCTCGTTGTACAGACGCAGTTAAAATAACATTGTTCAAGGCGTATTGCACCTCACTGTACACGGGAAGTCTGTGGGTTAACTACACCCAGAGAGCGTACAATGCTCTGCGCATCCAGTATAATAACGCGTTCAGGGCACTGTTGCGGCTTCCACGTTTCTGTAGTGCGTCAGCAATGTTTGCTGATGCTCACACCGATGGATTCGCTGCTTTATGACGCAAAAAGACTGCATCGCTCATCAGTCGCCTGCGTGGAAGTCGACACAGTATCCTGACTGCTATAGTCGAGAGACATGATTGTCCATTGATGCGTAAATTAGTGCAGCGGACTAAGTCCCTGTTTACTATTGCATATTAATATTGTATCTAAGTATAGTTATATATTGTGTTCTTTCTTTACTATTATTTCGATGGATCTCAGTTATCTGAATAAATAAACTTTATTATTATTATTATTTATTATTATTATAAGTAATCTTGACGCACTTGGCAAATTTATTTGCAATTCTAGTACCTAGTGATTCTTCGGTAGTCTTGTGTCCAATTCGGGCTCTGATTGCCGATTGGTTTAAAGAATATCACATCTTAGTTTAAACACAATTTTTTGCATTATTGCAATCAGTGTTTATCAGTAAAGTACCTACTTTTTAGATGGGATTAACAAAATAACTGTAAAAGATGAGTCTATTGCAGGTCTTGTTGCTGTACCCCAAACTACGAGAACAACACTCAACAATGTCTCATGAGACAAAGAAGCCTCTTTGTATGGTGTTAGTATCTACGGTTTTAAAACCATCGTTGAAGTACATGCAAGTTGATACAAGTAAATATACAAGCGAATGTAATGTCTTCTTAGAAGACCCCATCTTGTAATTGGACAGCCAAGCGGACACCTGTTTAGAACTTATGAAATACACCCGTACATATGTTGACGTCCAACGTCCAACATTGGTACAAATCGTTTGCATTCATTGGCCGTTTGTAGCCAACATTGTAATGTTGGTTTGACAAGAAAATTCCACATATTTAGCATTTATAAATAAAAATTATCATTCTTAATAATTTGAATATTTTTTATCAAATGATCATAAAATCGTTAAAGCGTCTGTCATGTTACTGAATCTGAATTTATGCGCATGCGCATAGCTGTCTCATTAAGTTAATTTTAAGAATAGATTATTAAATTTTCTCCTTATTATACGTGTTAGGCTTGTTAGTGTAATTAATTAGAAATATACATTACAAATCTTACCTCTAATAAATCGTAAAGAAACTCAACATAACTCATTATAATTTTTATAAACAAAAAATAACACAAAAAATACTTTTAACAGACCACACTGCACAAAGTCTGTTGTCGGAGTGGCAACTGCAAAATATAATTTGTTTATGCTGGTAGTTACCACACCTATGCGCCTACGCCGTTTTTTTGAGACACCTGCCTATCTATATATGGACACTAATCAACAGATTTTATATTAACATTGCCGTTTTTATTTTTTTATTCTCGTCTGCCATCTGTGTCGTTGACACGGAGTAAAAATGTGGACATTAGACAACCCATTTCATCTTAAGTGTTGGTTGTGTGTTTCACTTATGATAATTAATTATCTATCTACAAACAAATAAAACTCCGTGAATATAATTGTAGTGTTTGGTAAATATTGAGGGAAAATAACGTATAAATCGGCACAAGCAAGTCGCGAATCATCGTCCAAACCGGTTTGAAAAGTAGGCTTGCAAAATACAGCTACGGTGTTAGTAATCATGCAGTACTGTGATTTCTCGGCGACAAAAAACTAAGTTGACTGTAGATTATAGCGTACAGGTGCAATAAAAAAACTGACAGCGTCATGACAGCTCCTAACGAAAAAGTAAGGCGGGAAATGTCCCAAATAGATTATACTTAACTCCTCAATTTCAAGATGCACACAATGGTAGTTACATAATAATAAATCACGCTACTTACACACGTCAAAATGCGCTTACGCACCGAGACCGCAGCTAATATTATACTAATGATAGTGTACTACTGCCTCAGCAACCAACAATCAAACGAGAATCAAATGAAAGCAGTTTGACTCCTTCAGAATCGAGCCTCAGGCGCGGATGCGTTAAAAAAATAAAAAAGCTACGGTCGCGTTCGCGTGCACCGTCCGTGGGAACGTTGGAACAATAAAAAGTATTTAATCGACTCGATTATCCGAGTTGCCATTTGCGAAAAATTCGGACGATCTTAAACATGTACGGTATAATTTAATATTAATATTACGCTGTCTTACTCGAGGTAAACACAATGGAGCGGCGTCGTGGTGCGAATGCGACAGCTTTTTGTTGGGAAAAAACATGGCGGATGTAATTATAGCAATAGATGTAAATTCGGATTGCCATTTCATGGAACCAGCCTGGTCTTTTCGATACGGTCCTATTGCCAAGAAGAGGTAGCGATTTTTCACGGACAATACTGATGTTGAATCCAAACAAAGATGTTTCGAAATTATGTGGCAAATATTATTTCTCTGAAGGTCGAGTTTTAGGTTACAACCGACTTTCAAGAAAAAAATGACAAGTAAATTAAGATGTATTATTAAAATTTACAGCGCAATCCTTTCGAGGTCAGCAGTAATAATATGCATAAGTTAAAAGGCCCCAACTCTCAAGACTCAAACATGCGAATAAAAGACTAAAATGTAAACGAAACAAGAGCTAGATTGTCAATCTCAAAATATTCTTTCCACAAAGTTCAATAACACAGGTGATTTGCATTCGCCAAGACATTGGAACCGCTTCTCGTCCTGAGAATCGATAAAGACGATCGGTTTCGCGCCGAGAATTTCGGATTCAAGTCCGAACAACCATATAGGTCTAATAAATTAAGAGTCGCACTGCGTGCGCGCATTACAAAACGATGACTAAACATCGGCCGTGCAATCTTGTACAACCTGATTTTTACCATGACTAATATTCCGATATTTACTAAATTATCACTTTGGTTAAATTGTTTTATGTGTTTATTTTGGACTCAATTTCAACAATAAGTTCCCATTTAAAGATAAAGGTATAATTATTTCGAATTGCTCCAATTGTAACTTAATTCATTGTGTATTCACTCTTCAAAATAGAGCTTTATGTCCTCCAATTTTAGTTAAAGTATCATGTGTCGTTAATAACACATTCTTGTTAACTGAACCGTGAAATCATGTAAGAAAATTGCCTTTAACAGCCCAATTATCATAACATTAACTAACTAAATTAGGACATGAACAGTTAAAAGATTCCATAGAATTTGTCGCGATCAATTCAGTCTGCATTGTTAAATCCGTTCCGTAAAGTTACGGTTCAAATACTCTCCCACGAATAAAATACACACATAAGTCTGTCAACTTCTTTAAAAAGTCCATTCGAAACTAAACTCTGTGACTAGGAAGCAAAGTCTTAATGTAACTTGCGAAAAAACTGGAAGGCCACCGGAAACCAAGTGCGGTTGGATTATTGGGATCGCGATCACAGTTTAAATATGGCCGAACATCCGGCCAATTGAGTGTCGATTTTAATAATTAGGAAGGCTCCATTCTGGTTTCTCCGTACATCGGATCTTTAGATATTATGGCGGAAGAACGTCTAAGTTTTGTCTGCTATAAAACATAGTCATTTGAAACTAGCTTTTAAGTGTTACAGTGTAGATTAAAACAACATTATTCCAACCACATAAATGTAATAAAGAGTGAATCCCTTTAAGGAAGCCACTACCATAAAAACTAATCATAATTTACTACTATAGTCAAAAATAAAGTTCACTGAACATTCTCATTTAGTTAAAACACTGCTATAAGTATTCCCAACATGCAACCGAACTAGGATTGTCCATCTGATAAATTATGAGAATGAAAGCTTCCGTGATGTCAAAATAATTAAGATTATAGATAACGTTTTATAGACTAATTTGTTTTAATTAGTCAAAGGGAATGGAACGGACCAACATAAGTAATTTGTATAGAATTAATGGTTTAGAATTTAGATTGGTTTAGCTTGTAAGTCCAAATGCTATTAAATACCACTATAATTTTTGAACTGGCATAATAAATATTCTTACGCATTTAAGTCGCGGTCAACATAGGAATATGCCCAAAAAACTGAAATAACTACTAATAACAAAACAAAAATTTAAATGAGACCCCTTTATCAAAAAGGGTTCTTTTCAAAATTCAAATCCATCCATCAGTTCTGTATAATTATTACAATCGTATGGCAACCCATAATATAATTGATGCGTTCAATTTTAGAAAAACGTTCCAAAATCGATGGTAATCATATCTTTTTAATTTAATTGTTGTTAGGTTGGTAATGTTCGATTCTAATGGCCGTTACTTTTGAATGATCGAATGATTACTGGTTTCATGTTTAAGATTAATAAGGGCTTTTCTCATGCTTGTATTCTGATTAGATTACAATAGCCAAGTCATTTCAATAGAATATAGGTACCTTGGAAGCTGATTCGTCCAATTAATTATCTTTATGTCTTCATAAAATACATGGGCGAGTTCATTATGCACTTTAATGAGCTTTCAAACGTCATTGTATAATAAAACCAATAGAAATCCATTCAATTACTACTTATTATCGTCATTACGTCTTTTCCCATGAGGTAGATAGATAATTACCATACTAGTTAGATAAATTATGTCACAGTTGTAATCTATCCAAAAGACACACAACGGAACGCTTGGGTGTCGTGTATAATCACCATTATTAGTCCGACAACATCCAGCCTTATTACTTTAACATTCAAACTAATCAACTAAGAACTAAAGAGGGGACTTAACTAAATAAAACAGTCGATCCCCGCGGTATCAAAGGCCGATGGCTCAAAGACTGTTTGGGGAAGCAAAACTACTCCCAATAGACATGTAGCAATAAACAGTAGGGCTTTAGACAGAAAACAGACGTCCTCACACGAAGGGCCCTTTGTTTGAAACTTTTATAAATAAACATTTGAGTAGTGACCTCCTTTGTGTTAATATCGGAATGTTTATGAAAAAGTTTCCATTTGAAAAGCAAAGATTTGAATCTGGAATGTTTTTGTGGCCATCAACGATTGTCGTGTGTCTACTATAAAGGAAAAAGTTTAGATATTGGAAAAAAGCGTACCATATGTCAGTATCAGCTGATCGGCCTCCATTATACCCTGTTCCTCTTAGCACAGGTAAAAGTTTTTTGAGACAACTTTCAACAGCTGTTGGTGCGTGCACGCATTCGAAATCCCGAAATTTTCATACAATTCCGAAGTTGTTTTAATGTATCCGAACATCTGCGCCAGCAGGTGCTACCCCGGAATTTTTGAATTTCGAACACTCCTTGCTCAGAATTATTACTTTCTGTCCGATTATTGAAGGAGGCGGGTGCGTTTTATGATTTTGTAATATGTATTTTAAGGCAATGAATTCTGAATGGTTAAGCTTTTACGTTAATTAAAAAGATATATTCTATACAATTATATTTAAGCACTACAAAAGCAATGTTTATTTGTTGATGTTTTAATAAAAGACACATTAAAAGCGTAATACCAAAACATAAGGGCCTCACTTAATTCAATCCTTTCAACGACTTATCGTTTTTTAAAAGACAAAACACTCAAACCGTTAAATATTTAAAATGCGAAAAAGATATCCTTTCCCCCTACATCCTTTTTGCTTTCCATAAGCGGAAACGTCATTTTATCAGTTTAGTTTTTTTTTTGCGTCCGCATCCCGACCGAAGTCGATCGATTCATATCGAGTCGAGACGATTGCTGCTATCTCGATATCGGATGTCGTATCCGTTCCGATGTTACTCGATACTGGATCTTTGCTGACACAGCTTATCATTGTTCGAGATAAGGGTTATTGTGAATGAAATTGAGATTGACTTACGCAATGGTGTAACTTGTTATGTCTGATTTCTTATTATTACTTCTATATGTCCTGTTATAAAAGAGCCCCATATTGCAAAGTTCTTGCGTCTATCGAGTCTTCATATTTCTACTAAATACGAAACTTATAACTATCCATAAAACAAGTTAATACGTCAGGCTTTTATAGTGCAAACTAATAAAAAAAAATTCAATGCAAAACGCTTTTCATATAGATTGTAATCAAAACAACACCCTCACACATATACAGAAGTCACAAATTACAATATGCTGACATTTTCCAATATCCTATAACATAACTAATAATAGTATAGGTATAGGTTGAATATAAAATCGATAGAATAAAAAAAGAGATCGGTTGAAATCTCTATTAACTTGCGTGCTTTGTGCGAAACACCCTGTGTACGGGTGTATCGGGTTCAGAAACAGCTGACGCCACAAAAACCACCCTCTTCCTTTATCTACAGCTACTATTCAATTTAAGCACACTTTTGTGAAGTTTTTATACGAAAATATTATTAGTTTTTGTGCCATATATTATGTTGGAATTTCAAGCTTGAAGTATCTGTGGAAATCGATTAAACTAATTTTTGGTGTCATCGTGTTTTTATTTGGACACGTGTATTTAGTAATGAAAAAGAAGATCAACACTTCTAAAAAGATTCTGAACCGGAAATATTTATACATAGGCGGTACATCGTTGTCAACATCACTTACCATGTCAAAATAATTTAATTTTGTTAATTAATTTTTGGCATATTTACACCAAACTAACTCATTTAAAAAACAAATGTCTCATAGACAATCCAAATTCAAACCAATAAGTACCAAAGTTTCTAACCGGCCAGTACCTA